TTTACATTTTGAGTCTCCCGAAACCTGTTCCAAAGTCTGCAGATCACAAACTAAGACACAAAGAACACACGTCTCGCCGAGTTCTACCAGTTGCAGCAGACCAATACTCCTTAGGCGTTCATCATGTTGTAAACGACGCATTCCCCATCTGGTCACAAATACTTCATTGAAGCAGCAGTATAGAGATTGTGCGTGGTTCTGTGGATAATACAAATCAACAACACTAATGGCTCAGAGCGATTTGACGTCCTTTCAGTGAAGTGTCAGTATCAAGAATGACTCCCTACCCACGTACACAGTAATAACATGGTCCACGTGCACTGTATATAGGGTGTTGGGTTTTGGGTCATTTCTCAAAGCTGATCTTTCTTCTGACGAGAGATGATAACATTACTGTTTCATTATACCCTACTTTAGGGGAGTTTACACATTGGAACCCCACCGCTTACCCAGACCTAAATATACCCTTACTCGAGAAGAGACATGATAATCACGCTCTCAAGAACGCATATGGACTAATTCGATTGTATTTAAATAATTAATTATGTACCATAAGTATCTACAAAAGCAATTACTCAAATGTATACGTTCAAACAGATGTTTTGAAAAACAAATGGTCACTGGGTGTTAATTGTAAAGAATCACCCCAAAACTCTGAGGCCAATTTCCGAAGACAAGATCTAAAATCTGAATAATATTCACATTTTTTAAGAAATGTATTTACAAACTTGTTTGACAACAATATAAGGATCTATACTGAAACGTCGCAATTACAGTAAAATAAAGAAGATGTTATCCATAAATTGTCTACTTTGTCTTTATAATCCTATGTAAATGGTACGAACGTAGGGTTCGACCTTTGAAATAAATTTCAAATGCATGTACGTCCTCAGTTTATTCCAGTCTATTCACTAACCTCTGTCATGCCAGAGTCCCTTTTATCTATGAAGCATTATCTAATTCAGCTGACGTGACGCCAGAAACCTGCTGTACCCATACAAGGTTATAACAAGGTATGTATCCTGCCTCACTGTTGTGACGCTAGGATGACCAAGCCCGTTCAACAAAGCGATATAATGCTAAGATGACTGAACTCCCATACTTTAACATAGGCTTACGATGATCGTAGCGCTAAGATTCCGTTGTGGAACGGGGCCCTAGTCCTAAGCATATGAAACAGTGCAAGTGGTTTACTACCGCTGCCATAGCCTCCCAATTACGCTTTAAATAGTTGATGTGAATATCGTGCTAAAGCCTGACGTTGACTGCCATCCGTTTGGAACAAAATAATAGTTCTGGCATATTTTTCAATATTCAGAAATCGACGCATTGTGTGAAATGTCATATGCTACTGTTAATATGGTGGAAACAATGTGTTCAGAGCTCGAGTTTCACGTTCAGAAAAAGAGAGAAGTGGTTGTGTTCGGGTGTTATGTTTTCTTTGTATCACGAACACAAATAAGTCTTAAATTTGTGACAATTTTGGTCACTGTTTACCGGATCCCGTATCATATAATCTTGTTTGCTAAACAACACCTAGGTCCATATACGGAGCGAGTTTCGGACTCGTTCATACAAACGTATTATCATAACAGCAGCAAATTATTCACCCATAGGGAATACGACGCCTCAGTAACAATAACAAATGCGATGAACTGTCCCTTCCTATTTCCTGTGTCGTTTTTCTTACAAATTGGTACCGGAATCAGATAACAAGTCTGACGTGGAGATGGGCTACTGGTTCTTTACAAAGTCCAGCTGATATGCACGCGCATCTAGGTTGGGACAGGTGTCCTGAAGGATGGCGATACACGTGTTGTATATCTGATCTGAGAGAGATACAACACGTGCATCTCATATATATAGAGTTAATATATATTTCTAATTTAAGATATTAACAAACCTCATATATGAATGCATGCATTGGTCATACCTTTGATGACCATGTTCAATGTCTACAGATACCATCCCTATATTTTAAGTAATGTTTATATCTATTCTATTACTTATACAATACAAAAAAAACTCAGTTCAACTGGGGATAGACAGATACATTTATTTAAGAAATAAACGACGAGTGGGGGTTGTTCATCGTACAATAAAACACTGCAGGGAGAATAAACCATGAAGGGTGTTTATTTCTTATATGAAATATCAACATGATGTACAGCCTCTTTAAGGATGATGATAAAATGTACAAGGTTTAAAAATATTTACCCGTATTTAATAATGATGACTCCCTCAATAGAATCCAACTTCGGCAATGTCGGACAAGTTCATTTTATGCACACGCATATTCTCAAAATCCTCACGTCGATCACCTGTATATATTCTCCCAATATCAATTGTCATATCTCTCACGCTTTGGGATGCGATTGTTCGCTCATCGCCTTTAACTGCGTTTCCCGGCTTCATCTATGGGGGACAACTCACTAGACACTCGATCCCCTCTCAAAAGTAACGTCGTCATATACATATATACGACGTCATTAAGTTGCGAGCGCATGTTCGAATCTCCAGAAATGAGCAATGTTTTATCGCAATGCTTCATTGTTCTTTGCGATCTATCGCGTAGGTATCATATATACATAAAGGAAGCTATGCTACCCAAACTCAATCACGCACTCACTACTACCGACCCCTTGACTATTACTCATAAAAACTGATAATGAACGTAAAATGACTTTAAATGACACCCTTGAATCTTATGATATAACTCCGCGTTGAAGATAATGATGGGGAAGAAATTATGTTCACTTCTTAAGCTATATTATTAACAACCTAAATTATCTTTTTGCGATTATGACGTGCTTGGTAGTGTACAATACCTCGAAGACCTCCTATTATAGAGAGTAAAAAGTCAGTGTTGGGAACAAACCGCGCGTCCGTCCAATTCCGTATTACGTCATGCGATCAGAAGTTGCAACAAACTGTAATGAAGTTCGATAACATTTTAAAATAATCGATATTTTCGCATGGAATCAACAACATAAAAACTTGTATTGGATTGGCTATTGAATCAGCGCGTGACCTGATGCAAGAGGAAAATTGGGATCATTTCTATTTTGACTGGAAAAACAAGTGAAAACAGCTATACGATAATTTGATTTTAAATGTTAATTTGTTCTATTTGGGCGTTCGTCTGGGGCCCACGTTGCTGTTTATGTTGTTTGTATTTGTCTGAATGCGTTTGGTTTGATGTCGCTTTGTGGGCGGAAACACAAAGTGATGTTTATAGATGATTGATTCTTTGTTGTTTAACGCAGCACTCAGAATTATCCCAGCTACATGAATGCGGCCTGTCAAGAATCGAGTCGATTTAGAACAGTCCATTGATTGATATAAAGCGCATCGTTCCACGTACGCAATTGGGATACGATGACATCTTGTCGACGAAGTCACTCAATCTGACCACCCGATCCCGTTACTCGCCTCTTACGACAAGCATGACTTCATACTCGGTATCAGCGCTGATCCTATATCTTACTTTGCCACTTTAGTTGAATCATATTTGGTTTGATATGCGACAGAGAGTGTTGTAGGACTAAATATATTATTTATCGGGATCAACTTGAACCCCAACGTGCATGTCTATTGGAAAACAATAACATACATGCACATGGCCAAAGGAAAACCGTATTGAATCTAATCTAATGCACATTAGTGATACGAACGAATGGGGACACAGACTTATCAAATGAGAGTAATAGAATATAGCGACACCAATGTAACAAACTATTTTATATGTACTTTTTTTTATGGCAATCGACCCGGGATATAAAATCTATAAGGTTTTTATTCATTCATATGCAGCATGCAGTTTTCCATTTCATTTAAACAAAAGCCAAATGAATGAACGAATGAGTGAGTGAGGTTTTACGCCGCTTTTAGCAATATTCCAGCCATATCACGGCGGGGGACACCAGATATGGGCTTCACACATTGTACCCATGTCGGGAATCGAACCCGGGTCTTCGGCGTGACGAGCTAACGCTTTAACCATTAGGCTACCCGACCGCCCCTTGAACGAATGAACGAACGAACGAACGTAGTATATAAAGTTGATTGTAATTATAACAGGTTATGGTAACAGTGGCGATTACCTGGTGAAATCTGGTATGCACGATACAGATAAAAGGAATTCAAGTCCTCATTGAACTAGCTCGATTGATAACCCATTTGGTGAATTTTACCAGTTACCATAACAACAAAGCTCCATCTGTCTGGCAGTGAAGTCAGACACGGTCGAAAATGGCATTTCAGTGTTTTCCTCACCACCCTCTACATATTGGTGCCATCGGGTTGGTCGTCAAGTGAGTGAACGTGTTCATGGAAAGGTTCAAGAGAGGGGAGCAGTCCAACTTTGTAGAATATCATCATCTTATATCGGACACTCTTCCTAAAAATCTGCTGTCTAATAATGTACTTCTAAAACACTTCTAAACCGGTTCAGTTTGTTTGCTGTGGAAACGTTGATTAAGAATAAATATACAGTTGCCAGTTTGGCACCATAATCATTTCAACGTAATAATATATTTTTTGAGAGTCGTATCATTTCTCCATCAACATCCTTATTGATCCATTTTGCGCAGTAACCAAATTTGCCACACGTGTCAACTGCTGTCAGTATCTATATAATCACGAGTATAATTTAAAATAAAATTCATTATTTACTCGGCTAAGGTAAAAAAGGAAATTGGATACAGCCACACGATCATTAAATAATTAAAACGCGGATGTGTTCAGAAATGTCTCTGCTGAATGTGCCGCATTCGTTTTTGGATGGTCAATTTTGGCGGCCCCGCGCACTCTGATATTCATACGCAAGGTAGCGATTGTATTTTTTGTGATATTTCTTCTTTAAAAATGCAATTTAATCTGCTTACATTCAGCTAAACTCACACCACTTGCTTCGGCCATACACACAATTGTAGAAATTACGTTCATCTATTATTTCGTATTTAGGGTTTAATTCTTGTGCAACTTCTACCGCTTTGCAGTGAAACGGTGAATGTCGTCTGCTCGCGGAAGAGGTGTGAGAAGTTTACTTTTACAGAAAGTTCAAGATGCCGAGACAAAAGAAAATTGAACAGGATGTGGGTAGTACCAATCAAAAGAAGCAGTTTGATGACAGTGTCAATGCCTCCCCACAAAGTCTAGACAGCAGTCCTATTCGTGGTAAGCCACCTTACTAGCGACGGGAAATCGTACCAAAACGTCCTACGTTGTAAATTCCGATTAGAAAAAAAACAGTAAGGCTGTTTCGACAGACTAGGCTAGAGATTCTACATTCTATATACTGTGAAAAAGTCCCTACGTCTCAGAACCTTATTAGCCTGGTACTGACTCAAAGTTCAAACGTTTGTTAATAGTTTAAAAAAAGCAATGGCAAACTAGTGAAACTTCTAGCCGAGCCTTGCCCACAGACGTACGTCAAAAATTCCAACAGAACAGATTTATTATGATAAAAGACAGCAAGATGAATATTTATTTGACTAATTGTTCATAGATTTTTTCTTATATTTTTTTCAAAGCTGATGCAACGCCTATTGTTTCGAGAGTTGGCAAGAAAAGGACTGCAGATGGCGAAGGGGAAGACTTTGGGTATAGACAGATTATAGACAAATTATCTCTCAGTTATCATTTGATAACGATGAAACCAATATATTATGTTCACAATGTTACATATACAGGTGTCTGGCCTGTGAAATGATAACTATATATTGCCTGATTTTAAGCATTAGGTAAATAAATTATGGAGAAAATGCGGGGGAAACACAAAACGGAAATGGTAATCTGAGTTTCCATATGTTACAAACACTCAGGGTGTCGGAAAGGTCCTTCCTTAAAAAAATATGGAAATTTATAAAATTCATTCTGTGAATGTACATAAATAATACATGAGTAATGTATCTGTAAATTCATGTTTGGTCATATTTTATTTGAAATCTGCACCACTGTTATTTGCTGTGTGGTCATGGCGAACAAAATTAATTACCTTCCACACTGTAGGAACTTTTGCCAGGATAGTCTTAATTTTATTTCATTATCACGTGACTGCATAATATAAAAACCGATTCAAATATGAAAATGCATTGGAATACATTAAACCTCTTTACCATTATTTTATTTGGCTAAAAGTGATGAATTTGCAGCCTTATAATGCTATGGGGTCCTTAGGTTTACTGCCTAACAGGTTGTTTCTAACTTTATGGTATTATGTTTATGAAAAGGATCTCTTTAATTTCTGACACTGTTTTGAATTTAGATATAGCCATCTGTTGTAGTAAGTCATTCACTCATTGCTTTCACAGATCAGAGATGCAGAAAATGTTGGAGTGCTTTGGGGGTATGTTTCAGATATATGACATTCAAACAAGGATCCCTCAACTAGAAATGTATTGGCAAATGAGGTGACAATTAACGATAAAATCTACATTGACATACTTAATGTATGTATCAAGTTCCTTTCAAGTGGTTCCCATTTTGCCCAGCCAGGGCACGTTTGATGAGGACAACTATTTTATTATATATTGATGAAAAAGATATATGCTAGTATGGTATCAATCCCTCTTGATAAATAACCAATACTATAATAATCTGTTCATAAGTCAGGATGAAGTGTTTGTCTGTGTTATGTGTATGTGTGATTACAGCTATTTCTGATTACAGCTGATATTTCAAAGACTCTTGTTTCCAAAAGACGTAGACTTGAACAACTCACTCAGGTCTCTTTGAGGAGCACAAATAAAAAGGTTGATGATATCTGGAAGGCCCAACAAACAGAAAGGTATCATTCCATCCCAGGAAATTTGGCAGATTTTGCTGTTTCTTCTTTTGCAAACGGCGCATGACCTGTGAAAATTAAAGTCACATTTCAGAAATATTTAGCAATGAAACCCATGCTATTGTTCAAAAAAATAATATTCAGGGGTTGATCACCCTTAAGCACTGAAATGGCATCAAAGCAGTTCCTTTAAAATGTTTTGCCTTGAGTTCTCATAGTTTTCCGTTGTCTAATGCATTTACATGTACACACATGAGAAATTATCTTTGAAAACCATTAATACAATTATGTTTTAGCTTTCAATTAAGAAACTTTACTATTCATGAGAGTTCGTGAACCTAACTGTTCCAAATAACCCGTGAAACTTAATATTTTACACACGCATCATTCAATTTCATTTACCCTAAAATATTGATTTTCTCAAATAGTTCTTTCTTACATTGCGTGTCATTGTAATCCAACCGAGTACATCGGTGTTATGAAACCAGTCCTTTGTTTGCTGGTCCACATTATACAGGCCATGAATGATCGTGATATCAGTTCTAATATGGTTGACATGGGCCTTGAACAACATCCAATCCTTATTTTAATGTTAGATATTTTTATCTCCCTTTATTCAATTCTATCAAAGTTCCATGATGCAAGAATAACCAGCACGTAAATGCGAATGGCCATTCTTTTATTTTACATGTCATGAAATACAGTTTCTATGATACATTTTTGGTTTTCAGTTTTACCTCACATACTAGGAACATTTCATAATGAGGATTCACATGAGAGAATGCTTAGGGCTTCCCATATTTATAACAGAATTATTTTTGTGAACTACTTTCAGACATAAGTTGCAAGGTGAATATGCAAGACAAGTTGGAACAGTTTTCACTCAGTGGGAGTCGGATATTGACAAAACCAAAGAACAAGAAGAAAAATTAGCAGTTGAGTCAAGCATCAGTTCTTAAATTACTGGTTGAAACTGACCTTGTTTTGTGATTCGGATGTTATTTTCAAATATATATAAGAAAAACGTACATGTTTCAGATAAAATAATAGCAACGGTAGAATTTAGTCTGCAATATGTTTTAGCCCGAAAACTGAAAATATATAAGGACACAATTCTGCAAGCCTTCACAATATGTTTAAAATCTGACGAACTGACTCGGCCAGGGTAAATGGGAATATTTCCGTTTAATAGTATACTTCCCAACAACATATCCATTGAAACTTTCTTTTCTAAATTAACTTTATATGAATTATGTCAGGGCCGAAGCTTAAGAGCACCATAGCTGTATATTGTCACTCGCTTCAAGTCGCTTGTCTCCAACTGTTAATGATATTTCTTTTCTGGTCGTCGGCAATCTTAGGTGAAGTTCCTTTTCCATACCTAGAACACTTTTATATTCCTAATATAAACATGATGTATCACTGGAATCATTACTTTAAATCACGTTATATACCATTATGTAACGGAGAAGTCCTGGTGTCTGTCCGTTCCTGAAAAGTAATCCAGACAAGGCCTGTCATCTGTTACTTTTCAAGAATGGACAAATATCAAGACTTTCTCAAACATCCCTACTTTTAGACTATGACAAAAATGTCTGTGGACAATATATCAAACGTTGCCCTTCTATGATACGCGTGGAATAGTTTATCTGCTGCTGATGCAGATCCACCAAAGATCCATTCTCATTTTTTTATGGGGTCCTAAACCAGTGTTTTTTCAATCACTTGCAGGTTCTGACAGGGATTATATGAAATATAGAGCCCTGAACAAGGATAGTAATATTTCTCCTGGTTATTATCCTCCGCCCAAGTTGGCGGGGGATATAGAAACAGGCTCCGTCCGTCCGTCCGTCCGTCCGTCCTTACGTCCGTCACGTTTCGTTTCCAGAGCATAACTCATAAACCGTTCAATATTTTTTCATCAAACTTTGCAGGTCTGTCAGGTACATGCTGAACTGGTGCCTTTTGCTATTTAGAAATTTTAGAAATTTTAATTTTTTACGTTTCCTTGGCAACAAGATGGACTTAGGTTCTGTGAGGGTAGGGTTCGTTTCCGGAGCATAACTCATAAACTGTTCAATATTATTTCATGAAAATATGAAAGTCTGTCAGGTACATGCTGAACTGGTGCCTTTTACTATTTAGACATTTTAGAAATTTTTATTTTTCCGTTTCCTTGGCAACAAGATGGACTTAGGTTCTGTGAGGGTAGGGTTCGTTTCCGGAGCATAACTCATAAACTGTTCAATATTTTTTCATGAAACTTTGGAAGACTGTCAGGTACATGCTGAACTGGTGCCTTTTGCTATTTAGAAATTTTAGATTTTTATTTTTTACGTTTCCATGGCAACAAGATGGACTTAGGTTCTGTGCGGGTAGGGTTCGTTTCCGGAGAATAACTCATAAACCGTTCAATATCTTTTCATCAAACTTTGCAGGTTGATCACTCCGAAGACGATTCCCCACATGGGTACAATATATGAAGCCCATTATCGTGTCCCCCGCCGTGATTTTGCTGAAATATTGCTAAAAGCGGCGTAAAATCATACTCACTCCATTTTATATAATACAAACAGGTAGCATAATGTAACCCAACATTATTTTCTATGCCTGTAAAGGTTACACAAATATAAGAATATATTTCAGGGTGAGAAATTGGCACTGGGTCCTAAATTTTAAAGTCCTTGCCAAACTGCCCATTAGTTAAGCTACCATAAGGACTACAAGCAATTTGCTCTTTGTGGCGGTTTTTCTATGTGTTATCATTATATGGGGACTAGTGTGCTAAAACTGTTAGTTTCTAAGGCTGTATTTGATAGTGAATTTCACACCATTCTATAATACCCTCCTGTTGGGGCCCTGCTGGCGACACATTTTCCGACACAAGTTCTAAGCCTACAGTAATTGAAATGTGGGTTGAAGATAATGTAGGCATGAATAATATAATATCATTGACAACCAATTACAAAAAGTAATAGATTGACGTCACAGGTGTAAATGGTAGGTAAAGGATGTCTCAAGTGTTAATGATCATTTCCCAGTGATCTTCAACTAATAAAGGCCTCAAAGCCTCTGTTTATTACCTAATTTCAGCTGGTAGGTTAAGAACCTGACATTAGCCCCTTGTGTGAATTTGAATAGGGACATGGTCTCCATAGAAGTAGGGTGATATTGTTTGCTTAATGTAAATAATAAAACGGGTTCTAAACTATTATGTTATGTTTGCAACATGCTTTGACTGCAATGTCCTTGAACCAAGACTGTTTAAGCGGAAAAATTAGATATGGCTATTTTGGTAAGGCAAATTGTCTCCATAAATGTATGGATATCAGTACTATAAGATGTCAGAATCTTCCTAAAATCTAAATCAGTCAGTGTTGTGTTTTTTTTGTAGATGCTCTTCAAGCAGCAACAGAAATTGTTCCAGCAAGCTCGTATTGTGCAGAGCCAGAGACTGAAGACTTTAAAGCAGTTACAGGAACAATTCTCAAGAGTAAGACCTACTTAATGAAAACATTTATTATATTTTCTGTTTGTAACATTAATATTTACAATTCCCAAATCATCGGTTATTATACAAGTGAAACTTTTGATGCATGATATCAGTCTTCTCTCCTTGGGAATTTAGGATTAGAATAGAATCCCACTAACCTGTACTAGCCACAAGAGACGACTTCATGGACCAGGTGGCCAGGTTCTTTGACTTGGTTGATAGCCTGGCATCTACCCCAACGATATGGATCACTTCTCATTAATATCAATTTATTGATGATTTATTTATTAATGATTATGTACTGGCCACTGTCATATAGCTGGAACAATACTGAGTGTGGGTTAAACAACAAACAAAACATGTTAGTTTAGAAATGTGTGATACCTGATATTGTGCAGATTGTTCTCAAACACTTTCCTTGAGTTTACATGCCGATATGATAAGCATGCATGTTTGATTAGCATGACTATCAATACATGTATCTTTGCTTCAGTTGGTAAATAGTAGAGAAAATGGGAATGTATTTAGGATACATGCAATTGTGTAGCCGGGGACAACGTGTTTCTAACTTGAGAACATATTTGTTTCAACAGGGGGTAGAAGAGTTGGAGCAGTGTCACATCAATCAACAAAACAATGTACAGAGTGAAATGAAGAAAGAAATGGCACTTCTTCAGAAGAAACTTCTCATGGACACTGTAAGTTAAAAATGCTGCAAACTGTTCACTTAACAGGAAAATATATGTGTTCGATTAAACATATTTCACCAAGCTCTATATTTCTGATCAACATTGGATCTGTGGAGATCTGGGGTAGAATAGGTCTCCAGCAACCCATGCTTGCCCTAAAAGGCGACTATGCTTGTCGTAAGGGCGACCAACGGGATCGGGCGGTCAGGCTCGCTGACTTGGTTGATGCATGTCATCGATCCCAATTGCATGGATCGATGCTCATGATATCAATCATCGGATTGTCTGGTCCAGACTCGGTTATTTACAGACCGCCGTCATATAGCTGGAATATTGCCGAGTACAGCGTTAAACAACAAACCAAACTGAGGCAAAAGTGACCCCTAGCCTATATCAAAACGAACACGAGGCTTTGATATAGGCTTGTGGTCACTTGCCTCGGGAAGGTGATTTCTGATGTGTCCCATGATAAAAAGGAAGTGGGTCGCGTCGTAGGTACATACGAATCATTATGAAGCTCTGCCTTAGGTGTTGGAGTGTATATTTATGACACATCTCTTCTAACAAGATGCCAGTGATATGCCATTTCTGTTTCCAGCAACAGCAAGAAATGGCTAATGTGCGGAAATCCTTGCAGACCATGCTGTTCTAATGATGTATACAGGATGCTAGTAATCGACTACAATTTGTAAATTTCATGAAGATGGCAGTTGGGAGTTTTATGGAGTAGGGAATTCTATTCCCCTTTTCAGTAGTTAGTGGTCAAAGAGCAAGTCTGTGTACATGCTCCGGGTGTTTAATGTCTTCCTACATTGTGAATTATGTACCTTTAATTAGTTGATCATTGGCCTGTTGTGTGATGCATCTTTCTGTGATTAAAAGGGTTGAATTTTATTTGTATCTTCTTATCATTACCTTTATTTTTAAAACTTGAGCAGTTAGGTATATTATCAAATATTGTTTAATACCATATTATTTTAACGAGTAGTGACAGATGTGGGCATTCTGTTCCCAGAATTTCATGAGTGAAAGTGACTGATTGCAGTCTGGATTGAGATTTGTAGAAAAGGGTAATTATTAATAATTTTATTGCACTAACTGTGTGAATCTCATTCTTTTTGTTTTGGGCATAGTTTACGCCCACATCTGCTCACGGCTTTTGTGTGATTACCAATAGCCACTGTTAAGGCTGTATATTGGGAATGTAACACCAAGCAAAACATATTCCAATAAATGTTCCATGTTTTGGTAGAGACGAAGAGAAGATATGGGGACTGGGTATATAACTGCTGCCACAGTAACTGGTAACCTGTAAATCGGACTGTAATCACTGTTCAATCAGTGTTTGCATCTGTTTGTTTCATATGAGAAGCACATATTCAAAATCGTTTACTAATATCTATTCAAACGTATTTATACATTTCAAACACGTGTCCCGTTCGTGCACGTTGCATTTAGCTGTTTTAAACGTCAATGTTTCGTTAGTTTCTACAAGATTCTAATTTGCTGTCATTTGGCAGTGGCGTTCGTTTCCAGGGGCTCTGCAAAATATCCTCTTGAAACATCCGACTTGATTGAACTAAGTACACACTGCTGAATACAACACATGCCGTATTCGACGTAATAAGCGCCTAGGGCGCCCTCAAAATTAGAAATAGGGGGCTCTGATTAGAATATATTTTTGGTGAGTTGACAAAAGAAAAGTATGTGCGTATCATACACGACAGATATATTTTCCAGAATTTAATTGCCCATAATTAAGGGTGCATATAACACACGAGTGCGTATTATACACGAATAAATAAGTCTTGTGTACATTGATCAATCGTAAGTGGTGCTAATTGGGATTGTTCACTAGCCAAAATATTAGCAATTATCGCCGTGGGCGCTTATTAGAGCGGGGCGCTTATTACGTCGAATAATTACACACACACCCTGCTGTAACTGCGATGGCGTCTTGACTGTCAGACCTCATCGTGGCTCTCTGCTATACCTGCTGTGACTCAGCGTATTAAAGCATTAAGCATAAACATCAGGGGAAAATCAGTCTCGATTACCTGCAGAAACAGACTCCATTGGATGTAAAAGGCAAACAAGTGGTGACAATAATATGAGATTTTCACTGAAAGTAAGTGATGACATCCGCTGCCCAAAGCAGCACCAGCAACACGTACAGCACATGCATTCGAATTGGTACTTTAATTATCTACGATTCGAGAATATGTAAAATTTGTTCATAAAAGTAATATAAAAATCGATTATAGCACTGCACTCCCTCAAATATGACAGTTATGTCATACATATTAATGGTAAGTGAATAATCTGTCAGTTATCACCCTTGCCAAAGCAACTGCACATACATGAGCACTATTAAAAGCTGTTTCATAACCCACTCATAATAACAGTAACTTAGCACTTTCTTCAGGTATTACCATGATTGCTGAACTTATTTCCCTGCATCTGTGTGAATTCCAGGAACATGGGGATCGGGTGGTCAGACTGAGACATGGCCGATTGCGTTCATATACCAAGGTGGTGTGGCTCAGATCACTGTTTTGACTGGTTCAAATAATTTAACACTGGCGTTAAACACCATTCATTCACTCATTCCCATATATTCCCTGTGGAATGCACACTAAATAGGATCACGGTGATTTTTCCGGAAACAAATGTTATTTGGACATTTTCACGATTAATAAAAGTTTTATCAGACATACCGCACATAGCTGACAATTAATTGGTATATTTGCACATTCATGAAAATGGCAAATGCCGATATAGATTAGCGTATATCGTTGTCTTTACACGTACGTTAACACATTGTAACACACTGATCACGTTCAACTTGCCATAGAATTCTGTACTCAACACAATTGCTCATTAGGTTTCAACTATTTCATATCTTGTGTCATGTGAAATATTCTAAAGATTAAGAAATGTCAATAATCCTTTAAGCGAATGTTTAAAGATTAGGTCCAATCGATTTTCAATACATTTCCTTTCTTAATATTCATGTCGCGTCATGTCTGCGAATTGGACGTCTCCCTGCCAACGGGCAGGTGCGTACTATACAAAGTAGAGTTACTTCCCCGGAAGTGCAGGTTGTACACGCGCTTGTTTAGAAATGGCGTCCACCACAGCACAACAGGCTCAGGATATTATTGATGATAAGACACTAGTCGAAGAGGTAAGTTAACCGACTGGATATTGAATGAGTTATTTATATCTAAACACCAGTATTTAGGTTCCAACCACAGGCCCCTGAAGCAGGATAGGTTCCACCTTACTAGCGATATCTGTCTAATCTAGTGAAGTTCGAATGATGATGTGGGTTCAACTTTGACATTTTTTACTCATGACTAACGTCTGATCTGTGATCACACTGTGACTAGAGATGACAAGGTATCCTCGTTGTAAGGCCATATACTTTTACCGGGTTGCGGTAATTTCGTACTTCAAACGAATCCGTACCCCTAGACACTTCGTACCACTGCCAGCGATAGAAACTAAATTTTTAGTCCACTAGTCCTTATGAGCAAAACCCCTTAAAGATGGCACATTTCTACTAGTCCTCACGATACCTTAACAATAAAACTAGTGCCAATTTCTACCGCTGTCTGGAAATTTCGTACCCCTAAAAATGAGAAATTTTGTACCCTATTTAGTATTTCTATCATCAGCTTGTCTTGTTATTCCATATAACCTGACATACCGTTACCCTATTTTCGAACAGTTAAGATGGCACTGCTGATATTTCGAGTGATGAGTGAATCAAAACTCAAATTCTGCTATATACCGGAAGTTGATGTCTTCAAAATAGAATTCAGCTACTTACCAAGCGAAAGAAAAAAGTCTGATTGCCTTGTCTGTAAACTTCTGCTGCACTTGAGGGACGTAACATATTTCTGAACACCTGATTGTTTAGGTACTTTAGTGGGATTTCCTCGAATGAACAGAGATGTTTTGGCACATTTCTCATCATAATTCTTGCAGGTTGGTTTTAAAACTCAAAAAGTAATTGAAAGTTTGAAACTTATTCACAAAATATGAATATCTGTCAAATTAGTGTGTTCACACTATTTCATTCTTCCTTTTCTTCATGACACAGGCACCAACTTTCTGAATGATGATGGAATGTTCTGATAGGTGTACAGTACTTCACATGAACCCAATGTTGACAGGACGAACGTTATAATGCAACAAATCACTTTCAATAGGGCTGTTAGAAAATATGTCGTTCAAAACCTGATTCTTTTGAGGTAAATTGTAGTAAAGTAAATACCTTAACCAAAATATTGTGAGGAGAAAGGTGGGTGCCTGGGTTGGTGGTGGTGGTGGTCTGAGTGTGTGTGAAACTGCACTTAGATTAGATAAATGGGGGAATTGTGTTTAAACACTTCGTCCACAGACAAATAAAATGTAAAAAATCGATTTGTAATACAGTCTAACATACATGGTTAGACGAGAAGGACATACTATATCCACACGCCTGTACTTAGCACTGATCTTTTGGACTATGACTAGAGGGAATTCTTTCCAATGGATCCAAAACGTGCCCAATAACCAACAAGTAATTATTAATGTTTTGTTAATTTTAGCAGTTATGTACTTTCATATCAAATAATCATGGTAATGAAAATCATGTTTACCACATGTTTACAGCAACTCTGGGATGAACTGGAAAATGAGGAAATACCAGCCGATATTAGAGAGGCACGACTGTTAGCCTTCAAGAAACAATCCCAGGACTATGCCATGATGAGAGACAAGCAACATGGCTCATTCACGTAAGAGCTTATCACTTAAAGTTGTGTTACTAATTTATTGGAAACTAGTAATTTCTCTACCTCTGCATGTTATGTTCCAAAGATTGTCTGTTTTTTCCAGATATTGCTGTAAATGGTCAAGGTTCGTGGTTTTAAGATGGTTTGATGTTTTCAAAATTGTACCCCAGAAACTGTGATCAAAACTGAGAGTGATCTTTGAGATTTTCTGCTGTAGTATTTGCACAAGGACTCTTCTACTTTCATGCTTAATTTAGAACAATTTAAAAAAATGTCCATTTGAATTGGAGATAATTACATATGTACTGTATTTTGAACGGGGGCTGTCCAAGCAGAGCTAAAGGTAATATATGAAGTAAATAGAAATATGGCTTATCTCTTTTACTCCATTTTGTTTTGAAAGAGAGCTGACTGATGAGAAGGCCTTCCTTGAACTGACCACCACAGTAGACCGTTGTGTTGTCCACTTTTACCATGCAGACTTCCGCAGATGTGCAATAATTGACCAACACTTACAGGTAAGATTAGTGTTTACATGTAGTATTTTCTTTAAACCATAAAAAAAATTAAAGCATGCATTCCAACATTAATTCATGCATAATTTAAGAAGCCTGAAAGGTTCATCACAACCACATTTCCGTCTTTCATTTTTTAATGAATATCATTTTTATGGTTTAAAAGACAATATTTACTCCTAAGTGTTAAACATAAATCTAAACCTCTTAGGAAGGTTGATGTTATAATTTGTTAAACACCCTATGGTTTATTTTCTTGTTTACAAATGAGCCTACTATCAGACTATAGACATAAAGCATGTAAAGTAGAAGAAGTGTTCAATTGATATTTTGCTATCACTACTATAATGATCAATAATAATTATCATGATAATTCTCCATGCATTTTCATGTTCTTACAACGTCATGTCAAGACCACTTTCTTTCCAATTAAAACAGCCCACTGTAAACATAAATACATAGGAGAATAAGTGTTCAATTGCCATTTTGCTAATTTCAAACCACTACTATAATCATAATAGTTTCCATATCTTTTTGTGTTCTTACATGTTCAAAACCTTTTTCTTTCAAATAAAAACAAGAATTGGAAAATCCT